CGGCTTCTCGTTCTACCATGCCTCAAGTTATATAAGCTGATAAAGAGGTGTTCATTTGTTTATTTACTATATTTTGAAGGGATGCAAGATAGATAAGATGAACCAATTTTAATAAATAATGAGAAAAATGGTTTTATTCAAGTATCAGAAAAAGAAAAAAACCTTCAGCAAAAAAAATAGTGAAAACAACAACAATAAGTAAATTGTAAGCCTTGGAGGGTGCTATTGCAACAAGACATTCTTCGTTACTGGTGTAGCCCTAGAATTTGCTTGTTTTTCCTACTTTACAACATGCACCAGAATTTCGCACACTGACACATTCTGTTTTTTATATCCTTCTCTCCCTTCCCCTTCTTCCCTTTCCCATGTCTTGGGTCCCAGTTCTCATCTTTCAGGGTGACAGCCAATCAGTCTTCTTAGGACATGCCGTGTTGCAGGGCAAGGGTGGGACGGGCTACAAATAGAGAACAGAGCACTAGCTTTTTGAGAATCCTTTTTAAACAAAATTTAAATTATTTATTTATTTATTTTAGCTTTTGGGGGGTACAAAATAGAAATGGTGCATTTAAGATGTACAACTTGATGTTTTGATATACATATACATGATGGAATTATCACCACAATAAATCTAGTTAACCTATCCATTAGCTCAGCAGCACTTAGTCAACTTAACAAGGTTTGGGCTGTTTGGTCATATTGAGAGCCATTTTTACCCTACCCAGAGGACTGGTTTGAACATACACACCATCTCCTTAAGGCATGAAAGAGTATCCTCCACAAGATCACCTGGGGATTCGATATATGTCCCCAACTGTGCAATAAAGGGTTAAAGAGTTAATTCAGTGGGCTTGAGGTGCTCAAACTCTGCACATTCCAAAGAAAGGTCTAGCCTTTGAGGGTCTCCTGAGAGATAACCACTGATCCCTGTCTGATAAGAGTATCTTTGTATACCTCAGACCTTGGGTCATGCCAGATAGTTTTTGTCAATAATGTGAATTATGGGACCCTAGGCCATGCTGTACCAGTTTGACCTCTGGAGGGGCTGGAGATTTGCTAAGATCAGTCATGTGAGCACTTCATGTCTATGACTGACCTCTAGTAAAATCTCTAGACACCAAGGTTGGGGTGAGCTTCCCTGGTTGGCAGCCATACTTTGTACCTGTTGCCACACATCATCGCTGGGAGAATTAAATACTATTCATGCAACTTCCCCAGGAGAAGCAAACCAATTCCCCTTTTATAATTTTAATCTGTATCCTTTCCCTGTAATAAATTATTATAATCATAAGTACATAACAGCTTTTCTGAGTTCTGTGAGTTCTTCTAATGAGTCATCAAACATGAATGTGTTCTTGGGGACCACAACCCACCTGTAATTTAAAGACACTGCGGACAGTATCTAATTCCCTTCTATGAAATCTAAAGGGCAGAGTCAGGCTTCCCTAGCAGCTCCAATGGAAGTAACAAAGAGAAGGTAGTTTTGTTCAACGGTTTGAGTTCCCAGTTTGTAAACATAAAGATTTTACAGAACACCTGATTTGGAATCATTTTCAATCCTCCCAGAAGGACCTTTTGAGGAATTGATTGGACTTCCACAGAAAGGCTTCTCATCAGCTAACAAGTTGGGAGCTAAGTGGAGATGGCCAGTCTGAGGAAAGTCCATGTTGTCATCTTGAATGTTCCCTGACCTCTGAAGAATCATGAATATGTCCATGAGGGAAAGAGTGGAAAGCATGAAGGGTGTATAGCCAACCTATGAAAGCGTCAGTTAAATTAGAACGCTCTGCTCCAACCATTGCTACTCCCTTCCTCCCTCCCACCCCAACCCTGTAGGAGTCATAGCAGTCAGGAAGTGGGGGAGGAATGAGTGAGCATGAGCTTCTTAGCAACACAACGCTCTGCTCCAACCATTGCTACTCCCTTCCTCCCTCCCACCCCAACCCTGTAGGAGTCATCGCAGTCAGGAAGTGGGGGAGGAATGAGTGAGCATGAGCTTCTTAGCAACACGTGTGGTTTTTGAGGGGGAAGGCAGGTAGCATGGCTGCAATAGTTCTAAGAGGGGGGAAGGGAAAAGTCTCTCCTGGAAATGCAATTGGATGCTTTGGTTATTACTTAGGAATAGACAGTTAAAATGACTAAATTGAGATGAAGCTAAAGATTTAAAAATCAACTTATAGTAAGTAGAAAAAAGTCACAGAGCTTGCTTGAGGAAGGTTCTGATGGTGGCAAAAAATCACCCTGCTAAATTAATTTAAAAGGGCAGAGAAAACATTAAATAAGGTTGTATTACATGCAAGTCATGCTTGTTCAACACCTGAGTTATAATAGTAACCTTAGCTCACATGTTTAACTCTTCTTTTTCTACTTGAATTCCCAACAGATAAATAAAATCTAAAATTAGGAAAAATAAATTCATAGAAAGATGGAAGGGTGTCATAACCAAAGAACCAGACATTTTCAGCAATTTCTGAAAAATAAAAAGAGGTGTGATTGGATTGGTAGAAAAATTAATATCAACTAAGTACCTAAGACCTAACACTCAAAAAAAGACATTTCCTGAAAGGATAATGGATAAATTTTCCCTACAGAGTCAGGGAAAATTCCAGACTTCACGAAGCAGGGGTATAAGTAGGAGCAGACTTTGGGAAAGTCAGTAAAGTCATTGAAGAACTTCGGGAGCTATTATGTATGCATGCAGCACTGGGTTGAGGCATCTGCCCGTGAGCTGGAGATAGTGAATGAGATTTTCTGTTGTAGGTTCCTGTAGCTGATGATTATGATGACTATTAAAGTGTGAGAAAAAAGTTAATAGATTAAGTAAGGCTTCCTCTGTCCTTCCACAAAAATATTCACAAGTTTGGAGAGAAACCCATTTAATAGGTGTCTAAGTAGAGAGAATGTAAAGAATAGAGAAACAATAATTAAAGGTATAGTAGAGGAAATGTCTCTGAGCTTAAGAGAGATTTGCATCTTAACTTTCTCACCTCAAGCTCTGTACCAAAGGAGAGTGTGTAAACTCGCCAATCGATTCTATAAGGCTAGCAAAATACTGTTAACAAAACCTGATCATGATAGCCAACTATTCCTATTTTTGAAAATAGATGCAATATTCCTGAATAAAAATTACAGCAAATTGAAATGACACAATTCAATAAAAAAGCAGTGTATTCAAGGAATGAAAGAATGGCTCAACATAAGGGAAATGTTGCAATTTAAAGTAGAAAACTACATGTTCATCAAAAAGTAGATATAATTGATGGCAAGGTGTTTTACTGCCTCTAAGATATACTTACATAAAAAAATTATTAAATTAAGAATAAAAATAAATTTTCTTAACCTTTTGAAGAGTATCAGAAACTAGTAACTGGGTACAAACCAAATATAAATAGATAAGTGGTTAAAGTCCATTAAATATGATAATAATAATCCATGGTAGGTTTCTGTTTCGGTTACCTATAAGCTAGGTTATTCATAACAATGCTCACACCGAAAAAAATTAAAATTTTGAAAAAAATATTTTGGATGGATGTAATTTAGAAGATTTTATTTCCCCTGAGAGAATTTTCCAATCCCAGAAAATTTGAACTTGCCTTTGGATGGCCTTAAGGTGTGAACCCATAAAGGTGTGGAATCTAATGAGATACCATTAATTAAGATCTTGAAGAACTAGGTATCAGGGAGATATTAATGTGAACTACAGTGAAATAGCCCACATAAAGAATACAGCCCACGTTATAATTATCTGGGATGTCCAAGGAGCCTCAGACCTCGAGCTTGTTTTTAGGTGGTCCAAGATTATTAGTAGCCGCTGGTCCCTGGTAGAAACAAGCAGACATTCTCTCTGGATGAAAGTATCTACATCTAGACCTCAAATTAGTTCCTGACAATTTTTTTCAATGCAATGAATAGCAGGTAATCAAAGATAACTAGGCACACAAGGAAACAAAACACAATGAACAAGCTTCAGCAGGAAAACAGACAATAGAAACAGACCTGCCGTGGCATCCCATCTTACTCAGATAAAAGCCAAAGTTGTTTTAATGACCTATACAAGCCTGTATGATCCACAGTTCCTAGACACACCCCTTACCTCTTTGCTCTTTGCTTACTCACACTGGCTTCCTTGCTATTTCTCTGACATACCATGTACACCCTTATCTCCAAGACTCTGTCCAGTTATCTTTCCCCAGTTATCTACATAGCTTCCTCCTTCATCTCCTCTAGAACTTTGCTCAAATGTCTTTGTCTTAATGAGGCTTTCTGACCACTCTATTGAAAATAGAATTTTTCTCCTAATGTCGAACTTTCTGTCTCCTTTTCCTGCTTTATTTTTCTCCATATCATTTGACATGATCCACATAAAATATATATTTTCCTATTTGTTTGATTTTATTGTCTGCCTTTCCCCATCAGACTGGAAGCTCTTTAAGGGCAGGGGATTTTACCTGTTTTGTTTGTAACTGTATCCACAGGACCTAGAATAGTGCTTCATGCCCAGATGCTCAGTACATCTTTGTAGAGTGCATAAATACATGTTTAAATGTAAAGCGCTTAGGGCCTGGCTCAAAATAATCGATATACATTAGATATTATTACCACTATTAAAAATGAACAAAATTGAACTGACAGACGTGGATTCTAATTCTGAATTACTTTTCATCAAAGCAGGCTCCAGCAGTGAACTAATCTTTCACTGATTAGTTTTACGAAAATTATTTTACTTGTGTGGGAAGGAATTGTTACTAGTCTCCTTTTACACAAAGGAAAAAAGAAAGGATTTGATTTTCTACTATTCCCCACGATATAAGGAAAGAAGCAAACTCCTCTAGTTCAATTTTTTTGGCAGTGGTTTCTATGACAAAGATATTGAAAGGCTTCAAAAAATGGTACAGGTAGAACCAATGATGGAGATCAGGGTAACTCAACAAATATATGATCTATCCTGAAATTCATCAGCAATGGGTCTTCCCCAGATGAGTACCCATACATATGACACTCACAGCATTTCCGTTTTCAATCCAGGTGATGGTGGGGACAGGGATGCCTGTTGCTGTACAGCGCAGGGTCACAAAGGAGCCAAAGGTGACATTATGGGATTCAGGAGCCCGCAGGATTCTGGCAAAAACTGTTAGGAAGACAGAAGTGGTGAGTGACTCTCCTACAAGAAGTAGCCAAGGTGGAAGGGTCTTTAAAAACTGCAAATCAGACCATGTTTCCCTGTGTGCAATCCTTCAGTGTCTCCCTCTGTCTGAGGATAGTATCAAATGCCATGCCCCAGCATCCAAGCCCTCTTTATGCCGTGATCTTGCATTTCTCACCACTCCCGCACACACTGAGCTTGTTCCCAACTCAGGAGCTTGCCCTTGCTATTTCTCTGTCTAGAACACTCATCCCACAGATCTTCATGTGGCAGGTTTCTTGTATCATTCAAGTCTCTGTTTGAGTGACATTGCCTTTGAAAGGCACCTCAATCACCCAACATAAAGTGTAACCCTCCACCCATCCACTTTTTTGTCATCTTATTTTATTGTCTTTACAGATCTTATCAATATCTGAAGCTATCTTATCTATTTTTTTTTTACTTGTCTATTATTTCCCTGCCCTGTTAGGTTGTCTGAAACCAAACACGTTGCCTGTTTTGTTCACCACTGTATTCAGTACCTAGAAGAGTTTCTGACCAAAGAAAGCACAGAATAGTATGTTATTGAACTAATGAAATAAATAATCAATGCTTTACACCCTTAACAGTATAATATTGGGAGGACAGACAATCTGTCAAACTTTTCAGAGAATGAGATGATATGCTGGGCAAAAAAAGGAAAAGAATATTTTAGGTAAAGTGTGGGCAGGAAAATGAGTAATTTATATTCCTTTCTGAGACCAAGTCCCCACTGATTAAATAAGAGAAAGTTCTTTTGATGCGAAAAGACATTCTACCTTTAACTAAAGAGTGGGATTGAGGCTCAGAATGCATAAGAAATGGAAAGATAAATATAATCACAGAATTATGAAACTTGGAAGACATTTCAGAAATTGACTAGATTCCTGCTTTCATTTTATAGATATGGAAACCAAATCCAAGTTAGTTTATGTTGCTTTCCTAAGATAATAAGAGCGATAAGCAAGAAACCTGGACTATGTATGATCTTTTGACTTCAAATCCAGTTTTCTTTAAAATTATTCTGAACTATTTTTGATTGCCTATTATACTGTAAATACTTTATGTTCCTGTCTTTTGTTACCTAGGACTTAAGCACAGACCGTAATAGTAGAGTATGAAGTCCCAATTAACACAGTGCTTTGAAGTTTAGTTCTTCTATATAATTGAAATTTGTGGAGTTTGAATTCTAAAGTAAAGCATGGGGAGATAGTATATACTAGACAGGAGATATGCAGACAATAATAGATCAAGTCCAGAGCTGTGTTAGAGGTTGTTCTGATTGTTGAAAACCTCTTAAAAAGGATCACATAATTCTAGGAGATAAAGGAAGATATGGTTTGTTTAACAACTCGATGCTTTTCTCAGAATTTTTTTGAATTAATCTGATTTTCTATCTTTTGATATTGAGGACTCTAAGAGATGGGATCTAGAACATTTTAGATACATAAATAAATGTTGGGCCCAGAAGCCAGGAAAAAAGGAAAAGCAAGAAAGGTATTGTCTTCAAGGAATCAAATGGTTAAAACAACAACAACAAAAAATGGTATCAAATGTTTAAAATGAGGTTGTATCTGCTCCCCCAAACCAAGATTGAGCCTAATTTTAGGTAAGTTCTGGAGTCTAACTGCCAATTTACTAAAAATAGATGTGGAGGAACATGTTAAGCACCATAGAGATGCAATTCGATCAAATCCAGAATATAGGAAATTTAACGAGGCAAATTATTTAGTTTCCTCAACAAAAAGTAGCATCAGGAATAAAAATGAAAAATCTATTACAGATTAAGAGAGAGACTTGAGAGCCATATCAGTCAAATGCAATGTGAAGCTCTGTTTGTATTCTTATTGTCCCAACTTAGTCTAAGTTTACAGTAGACTCGACGACTAACACAGTCTGGCATCCCAGCAAGGGTGCACTCAGTACCGTTCTTTTCTAATGTTGTCCGGTAACAATAATGAAGACCTAGATTGCACAACATATTCGAGTCCATGTTCATCATTTGGCTGAAATGACTCTTGTAGGGGTTGGGGCTACGCTTGTCTGTCCTAAATGTTTTGTGTGAGACTACTGCAGTGATCATTTTATGAGTCTTCTGAGAATCTGAAGCAAGCAGGATCCTTGAGAGATTTGACTTGGATCATTTCAATCTCATCAGTGCTGGAAGAGTGTTCTAATAACATTGACTGGACCCTTGAACTTGAGTGAAATTTTTCTGGCTGAAGATGAGCAGAATAAAAAATTGGACAAGAATGAAATCTAGATTATTTTTTTCTGTTTTAATTTATAAAAGCAAGAATTTTAATTTAGGGACTTTAAATTCTTCCTGGAAATTTAGTAATCAGGGAGGGTTTATTTCGTTCTAATTTGCAGCTTTTATTTTTACTTTGGCTGGCATAACATTATTTGAAAAATCATTTGGGCCCATTGCAAAACCTCTGATGATCCATATTGCACAACACAGCTAAGCATAATGTGAGATAGTAAATAAAACAGAGTCAATTATCATTCTAGAGTTCAATGTTACTTTGAAGTTAATTTAATTAATATACCACTCTGGCCTATATCAGAACCTTCTGGGGGCTCCAGTGGGGCACAGGAGGGTACATAAAGGAATACTATTTGCATTGCAGGTAGCTTCATGAATGTGAGACTGTGCTCATAAACTGCTGGTCTCCTCCCAGAAGGGGGCATATATTCTCTTGGCTGACCATGGATTTTATTAAGTGCAGTGGGTTAAAAGAAAAAAGAGGCCAGGGATTAAAGGGAAGCTGGTCTCTCCCGCACCTCATGTTCTTTCCAAAAGATAAAATGGAAGCTCAACCCCCTTTATTAAATATTGAAAGACAGCTTCCTTTGAGAAGGAGGTTGTAGATGTCTTGATTTTCTACAAAATTTTTCCTTATTATAATGCCTTCTCTTGTCTTCATCCCTTCACCCTTGTTTGTGTGTCTTCATAACACTTACCACTATCTTGTAACTGCTGATTTATTTGTTTTTCATCTGTCTCTCCCTGGAATGTAAGCATCACAAGGGCAAGGTTCATTAACACAGGCTGACTTATCTATCTATCACCTATCCATCTAGCTATCAATCAATCATCTCTATCTCCAGAACTCTGTATGGTACATGGTAAGCACTCAATAAATATTTGGTGAATGAATGAAAGAATGAAAAAAAGAGTAATTTCTCTGGTGAGAGTGGGGTAAGGGACTCGCATATGTTATGTGTATCTCAGCCCTCCCTGGGCCATCAATCTCCCAGCTATCCTGAAGAAAGAAAGGATAATGGGGTTGATGTGCATTAGGTAAGTTCACCAGGTCAGGGCTTCATCTTTCAGCTGGGAGTGAAACATGAAACAGAGGGTAGAGGTGAGGAGGATTAGGAAACAGACATTATGTTAGTCTAATTCTTAGATGGAGTAGAAAGCTTTATTTATTAATTTATCTTTATTAGCAATAAAGCTGATATATTTTTACCCATCTGTACTTGTTACCAGTTCCAAATATAAAAGGTGAAGTGGTGGCAAAAGAAATTCCAACACATTAATAAAGCATCTAAAACAATAAAGTCAGTTGCAATTAAAAATAAATGCCAGATTAACTTCCATGGATAATAATACACCTACAATAATAAACTTGGATGTAGCTCAACAGTAAATCCCATTATTTTAGTGGTAGCCATAAATGGAAAATACATTCTGGGTCATCAACTTAAAAAATAATGAGATATGTTTTTTATCAAATAAAGTGTGCATCAAATACCCCTATTTTGCATTTTATTTGCATGAAAGAAAATATAAAAGTGTTGTAAACAATTAAGCTGCTTAACAGAAGGGGCATGAAATTACCTTGTAATTTGGAAAATATTTATAACTGTTTTGGTATAGATTTTTAAAGAAAAAAATATTATCCAACTCCTCTTTCTGTATATAGTTTTATCCATTATTTTCCTATGCACTGTGAACTCCTTCCCACTTACTTTCCTGTAGACAGGCAAGTTATTGTTCATAGGCAACATGAAAATAGACACAGGCAATATATTTATTCCTGGGTTTTTCTCTCATGGGATTTACTCATGAGTTTTGGGCTTTAATTTCTCTTGAGCAGGATTCCAGTGCTGACTGCAGGTTGAGAATCCTAAAATTGGGCTTAGGCAGCCAGCAATTCCAAAGTCCTTCCTAACATAATCATATTATATTCTGTATTATATTCTCTTTCTCTCTCTCTTTCTCTGTCTCTCTCTCCATCTTTCAAAGCACTTTCAGATACATAATCAGTTTCATTGTTGATTGTCATTTTAAGGGATAATACGTATAAAGAGATAAATCCATTATTCACTCTGAAATTGCACTGGCGTAATGGATGATGTAATGGAAAGCTCAGGGGACAGGGGACCCAAATTAACAAGCAGTTTGGCTGGAGATGAACTACCTCTCTTTTCTCGGTAAGGGAGCAGTGCTACAGGAATACTTGTCTCATCAATTTCTGTTTCTAAGCAATTATTTCAAAGAGCACAATGTGCTTGCATTGATTTTATTTTCTCTTGATCTTTTCTTTATTATTTTCTACCTTCCCTTAAAGATCTTTCTTAGGTTACATGATTTAAACCAGCAATGACTGATAGGAATAAATTGGAGGTGGGGGGCGAGGAGAGGAAACAAACAAACTAAAAACCTAGTTTAAAAAAAAAAAAAAGATCACATAGGATCAGGTGAAATGCTTTTACCTGAATTTAGCTGTAAGCAACTTGGAATTTATAAACAGAAAACATTTCAAATAATTTATTGAAGATACTAAGATAAGGAGGTACTGTTTTAAATAATATTGGCCTAAGATTAATCTCTAGAGTCAAACTGTATTATATGAGAACTTGTGAATTTTATCACTCAAATATCAGTATTTAGGTTAGAAGAGCACAAGGTTTGAGGCTTAATCTGGATGCAAGGTACTTTTTTTGACAGAATA